TCAGCAGACAGACAGACAGACAGACAGATAGATAGATAGATAGATAGATAGATAGATAGATAGATAGATCACCATTCAAAACAAGCCTGAGCCATTTCTGCACATCTGCGTCTTGAGACACGACTCTCTTCAGTATTCTCTGCTCGCTGCTATGAGCTTGTCCCTTCATCAATCTCCAAAACCCAAACACTGTGAGAGGCTTTCAGCGCTATAAAGTGCCCTGTTTCCACATAAATCAATCATACATCTCTTGTGCATAGTAATGAAATGCTGTGAGCTCACGAGAGTGTTCGGGCCGTTCTGCTATCAGTTATCACTGTGGAGGACGCAACACTTTACTGAACTCTGGGCGAGACTCATCTGTGGCAGCTAGCATGAAAGAAAACAACAATCACATCCTCCCACATCTCCACATATAAGTGTGCCCTTTAAATACAAAGTCAGGTGATTCTCCCTCCCTCTCTGTGGAGCAGAATTATGCTGTAACTCTCTGACTGTCAATGTAAATGGAGGTTACGGGTGGAGAAGGTCATGATGTGGGAGGGAAAGCAGTTTTGCTCCACCCATCTCATGTTAACTGAAGCGCACGTCTGTATGGTTTAGCCTTGTGTGCCGAAGGTTTGGAAGATCAGACTCTGTCTCCATCCAGTGGAGGTTTCATGTAACTCATATGCATGAATATTAGGATGTCATACTTAGCACATAGTTCGTCTTCCCGTTTGCCTGTGGCAGGAAGCGGCAGTTTGAGGGACCTCTGGTACCAAGCAGAGCTGTGAAATGGGCATCCTGGGACTTTCAAGTCAGGACCCTCTCTGGAGCCTCAGCAGGTTCTTGAGCAGTGACAGGAACCTTTATGGCAGCCTTAACAGACATTTCTGGTGCGGCCCTGACAAGATCTCTGAACCCAATGCATGCTGACAAAGGGGGCTCTGTGTGCCATGACTGAGTGCTCTCATGGATCCGTGACATGGATCTCTGGGATCCAGACGCCAGTGGCAGGAACTTCTGGAGCAGCAGTGAGAGGGGCTTGACAGGGAGCTCAGGGTGACTCCATTATTAAAAATATGACTGGATGGTGCAATACTTAGCTAACATCCCTAGGCAAGAAGTTCTACAAGACACTAAATCAAGCCAAGGTGCCAGACGCAACCAAGGCAAACCAACCCCGCAAGACGCTAAGGCTGGAGAAATGGAAAGCCAACATAACTAACTAGAACTAAATTAACTATTTACAATGCACATCCCTAAGCAAGTAGTTCCGCAAGACGCTAAAACTACCACCTCAAGCCAAGGCGCCAGACGCAACCAAGGCCTGCCAGCCCTGCAAGACGCTAAGGCTGGAGAGATGGACCCTTGTCAGCCAACCAGATACAAAGCTGACCCTCTCCTCCATCACCTACAGGGGGACCTGCAACACAATTAGAAAGTATACAAATTAGACAAACATACTTCACAAGGTTTAAAAATAAAACTTGTCATCTGTGTAGTATATAAGGATTGACTGAATGAGAGTTGCAGCAGTTAATGAAAGGTTGTGTAAAGAAGCTCATGTCTATATTCAGATAATCAAACCAACAAAAAGGCAAAAAAGAAACAAACAAGCAAATGACAAAATATCTTCAAAATCATTTTAGCTTACCTTGAACCAGTCATGGAAGAGCGTCTCCTCCAGATGAATCCTCCGCTCTGGGTCACTCTTCAGGCAACCTCGAATGAAAAGGCAGCATTCTGTGTAAAAAGATGGAGAGAAGTCTACCTTTAAAGGGTTAGTTCACCCAACATGAAAATTCTGTCATTAATTCGTCTCCCAGAGTTACCGTATTCCGCCTTTTTGGAGAGTACCCCAGAACATAATCAACATAATCAGCGTTTTTTACATTCAGCATGCGCGCGCTGTCTACTGAACGTAATCAGTGTTCTTCAACTTTACACTTGCTCTCTAAGCTGTAAAACTGGGAGAGATTCCTGCATTATCCATTATAAAGCCACTGTTTTTTTTCTGTTTTGTGTGATTAAGAATTGCAAGTGTCCGATCCATCCATCCGATGTCGCTGCTGTCTGGGAAAAGGCTGGTGATCATCCTAAACAGCGGCACACCCAGCGACCACGTCGTCGCCTGTTTCGCATAGTACTCGCCCTTCTCAAAGTATTCAGGAGGACGGTACGTTGCTGTCCCTGAAGGAAAGAGTTTGCCACATGTGTAAGTTTGCTTTACCACTTTTCTCACTTTACTCTAACTGTAATGGCATTTAATTTTAGTCAACAAAAATAAAACTATCACTGTCTTTCTGAGAATGTTGTTAGTGCATTGTTAATATTTTGCTGTGTCCCGTCTGATTAACACATGGTGTAACTACTTGTTTTACAACTGTAAGTGATGTAGGACGAGCTTTTCAAGAGGTCTCCACAGCCGAAATCAATCAATTTGACCTCCAGGGTCTCCGTGTTGACCAGGAGGTTGGGCATCTTGATGTCCCGATGGAAGACCTCCCGGGAACAGCACACGGCATCAGCAGCGATCACCTGCCACATGAAATAACGCGCCAAATCCTCTCTGAAGAGGCCGCCGTGATGCTCCCAAATATCATGCATGTCCACGCAGGGCGAGGGCCTCTCTAGGACCATGATGTAAAGGTGCCAGTCCAGCACCTTTATGATGTGGCGACAGCGGGGGCCTTGGTTGTCCATGACTGTCAGAGCCACCTCAAGAGGAACTGGTCTGGGATGGTCAGGCTAGAAAAAAGTGATGATTAGATGGAAGTGGTTTCTCTGTCTGACTGTTTCTATTGAAACACTTGGACTCTGTCATTTGTATTAATCTAAGATGTTATAAATTGCAATGAGAGGAGATGACATAGAGATCATCACAGTCTACTTACAAGGCTGATGTACGGCTCGTTCTCCGTCTTAGCTGTGAATTTCACAGCGACTGGAAGGCTGTCTTCACAGCGGGTCCCTTCAAAGATCCTTTTCCTTCCCTCATCTGGTTGCTGATGATGTATTTCCAGCAAATGTGGTCTATTAAAACATAATTATAGTATTTTTTTTTATTATTATTTACAATACCAATGTCCTACAGTGTGGCATGCCATGCTTATTCTTAAAACTATTTCAGCATTGTTTCTAATCCTCATATAATTATTGCACTTAATTGGTTTATATTAACTGTGAAATACATGGAATATCTGTAAAAAAAAAAAAAAAACTCATAGGTCACACTACAGGACAATTTAATTTAATTTAATATTTTATTTTATTTTATTTTATTTTATTATTTTATTTTATTTGCAATGAAATGCCAAATACTGATTACAATTCAGGGCTGTACGTTAACTTTTTTTTTTCACATAGCACTGGTGCTACAGAGGTTGAAAGTTTTGTAGCACAGGCCAAACAGTTGTAGCACAAGTATAAAACGTCTGTTATTATGTCTGAAAACAAACACAAGTAACGGAGTTCATCATTTAAACAGGCACCGATGTTCCGTACAGAGCACAGAAAATACAAACCATCACAAAAATTGTTTTTAGACAAAGTTTTTTCTTAATTTGTTAAAAATGGACGAGTGCAGAAACATAACACCTCTTACACCTCAACAAAATATAAAATAAAAAAGAATGGCAGACATTTAGGCCAAAGTGGGCAAAGATAAAAATCTTTGTCATTATTTTATCTTTGTTATTAGAAAATAAGAACAAATATATACATTACAAATGAATGAATGAATGAATGATGCATTTATATAGCACTTTACTGTGTATTGTTGTACACCCAAAGCGCTTTACAATCTTGTGGGGGGTCTCTCCTCAACCACCATCAGTGATAATATACAAATAAAACAAACAGTGCTTTATTTTTCAGGTACTGTATTTAGCAGTAACATTAAATATTCAAATAAAACACTATATACATCAATGATACTTTTTCTTTAAAGCAACTGACTGATGATAAGTTCAGATGGCCGTTAGATGATCGTTTCATTCATCTGAAGTGGCTGATGGGAAGCTGGTGGTTGTTTTTGCTTTTGCTTTGTTTTTCTCACAGCCACATGATGGTGCAAGACATTGCTTATACATTATAAAAAATGACGTGCATCCTCCCACCAAGCTAAATCTCAGAAACTGCCTGTTTGATGTATAGGCTGGTTCTTTCCAGCTTCTTTCTTTTCTCGTCTTTCCTCAAGACCTGTTTTGTAAATGGGCTTTCGGTTATAAATATTGGTGTTTTGTTCAGTTTAAATATAAAAGGGCAGTAGGTCATAGCAGTATGTACTCAGCAGACCTTCCTGAAGGGCCAACATAAGCCTTAAAGGGATAGATCACCCAAAAATAAAAAATCCTGTCCTCAAGTTGTTCCAAACCTTAGTTTCTTCCTGAAGAATTGTTATTTTTGGGTGATGCCTTTGAGATTTTTTCTAGTCTCTCTCGCTCTTTTTGTCTATACAATAAATGTGTGTATTTATTAATATGTTGTATTTGGGACATTTAGAAAGAAATAATGAAAGCAGGTTTGGAACAAATTGGCACATTGTAGACGTAACAGATAACAGAAAATGTAAAGCTGCGTTTACAAATCTGAAATGATAAGATTTAATGTAATAATCATGCCTAGCTTGAAGAAAGAAAAAAAAAGAGCTTGCATTTCCTTTAATGAGACGCATATTAAGGGAAAACAGTGTCACAGCCTCATTGTGAGAAGGAGATCAATTTATTAATGCTTAATATTTAAACTCTTCAAAACCTTTTATTAGGATCAACACGAAATTATTTCAGAAAATGTTTACATTAGAACTACATGTTGTTAGAGGGATAGTTCACCCAAAAATGAAAATTCTGTCATCATTTACTCACCCTCATGTCGTTCCAAACCTGTATGAGTTGCCTTCTTATGTTGAACATAAAAGAAGATATTTTCATAGTAGGAAAAAAAATACTATGGAAGTCAATGGCAACCACCAACTGTTTGATTACCAGCAATCTTCAAAATATCTTCTTTTGTGTTCAACATAAGAAAGCAACTCATACAGGTTTGGAACGACATGAGGGTGAGTAAATGATGACAGAATTTTCATTTTTGGGTGAACTATCCCTTTAAGGTAACAAGGTGGCTTGAAATAAATAACCGATCAATCAATCAGTCAATCTAATGTCTATGGCAACATCCTCAAAGCAAAACATGCGCAACTAAGATTTGCAAAATATAAGTAATTATGTCACTATCGTTCCTGGATCCAATCGAACACCAATGAATCGTGAATCGAATCGATTCGCTGGCTACTCAAAGATTCACACGCCTGTCGCATCCGTTCTGGTGCAAGAACAGAACGGGTCAGTGAATGAATCTTTTTGGTGAACTCATTTAAAACATTCGAAACACTGAATCCCCACCGATGCGTTCCTCCAAACCGAGTTAGCTGTTACTAACATAGATATATAAATACAGGTTACTAACTCATTAAATCGCATCTCGAGTCTCCTCGCCTTTGCCCGGTTGAAAAAAATCGTCCATTACTCACATCAAAAATGTGTTTTTGCATACAGACTCCAATATGAATATACGTACGTCATACTTTGACATTTTAAACCTATTTACTCTTTCCCTTCTCAGATGTATTTTATAAACCTCCAACTGGCAACGTCTCAGGCACGCAGAGGGCAGCTAAAGCTCGCAGCCGTATATTTTGGGGTCCTTCAGCGTCAGACTGCTGCTTTCTCTGGACAGCATCTTCGTCAATGGCGGATTACGATAACTACGAGGACCGGGACCGGGCTTACGGGAGCTTCGGCGGGGGGAGAGGGTAAGGAAGGCCGCGTGAGAGGAGCGGGGAGGCGGCGGAGAGGCGCGGGTTTGCGGGACATCGAGCGGGGGAAGGCCACGCAGCAGCTCCCGCTGTGTGATGAATGAAGGCCGGCCACGAAACTCAGCCCACATGGGCTTCATGTCTCGCGGCCGACTCAGCAGTGCAGTGCCCGCAGACGTTATGTAAAACATTGCTGCTCGTTTATCGCTATTGCATATAGTTATTGGTGTCATAATCGGTCTGCGTGATCAGTGCGACGGCGTGTTTTAGCGCGGTCTGCACTGGGCCTCGCTCAGGGGTTTGACTCCCATCTATATTACTCTGCTGTTTTTAAACCCACTGTATTGCTGCCTATGAGTGGCTTTGTTCTCATTTCCACTCAAATACCGTGGTACTTCCATCTTTCTGGACGTGCACGGTTGTAACGTTATTATTTGAAGTACCTCGGGGTGTCGTTGAAATGCAGTGCACATGGAAATGATCACGTCCATGCAAATTAATGTTTAGCCTCTGCTCTCGGAGCAACAGCACAAGTCCATATGATAAGTAAGATTTATTGTGTTTTCCGTCCATCAGCTCGACCTGATGGCATGCACATGCTTTATTTGCATACCTGCGCGTGGCATTTATCAGCTATTGAATATAGAAACAGAAAGTGCGTGCTTATTTGATGTATGGAAACCTGGTAAAATGAGTTCTGTATTGTACTTTAGGCTTCCCTGACCATGCTGCATTATTGCTAATGAGAAAACCCCCCCCCACAAACTACTGTTCTAAAGTTTGGAATTAGTTTATTTTTTAAAGAACTAATGTTGCATTCATTTGAACAAAAGTAGAGTGAAAAAATTGTGAAATGTTATTGCAGTTTTTTGTTTTGACCCCCCCCCACAAACTACTGTTCTAAAGTTTGGAATTAGTTTATTTTTTAAAGAACTAATGTTGCATTCATTTGAACAAAAATAGAGTGAAAAAATTGTGAAATGTTATTGCAGTTTTTTGTTTTGATGTATTTTAAATTTTAATTTTGTCCTGTGATAAAATCTGGATTTTCAGCATCATTACTCCAGTCTTCAGTGTCACATGATGCTTCAGAAATCATTCTGATATGCTGATTTAATTTGTTGAGATTTCACAAGTTGAACTTATTTTTCAGGTTTCTTTGAATCGAATGTTCAAAAGAACCGCATTTAGCTCAAACGGGAAGCTTTTGTAATATTATAAATGTCTTTGCTGTCACTTTTGATCATTTTAATGCATCCTTGCTGAATAAAAGTATTAATTTCTGTAATTACTTAACACACAAAAAACAAAAACAAGACAAAACAAAAAAGATTCTAACTAAACCTGAACTTTTGAACGCTCGTAGTAGGGGTGTGCGATATATATCGTCTGCGATAATATCGTAATTGTTGTTTTAACGATGTGCTATTTGACATTATCGAGTATTTTGCAAAAACCATTCAAAACATCCCTACAGAGCGCACGCATACATTACGTGAAGTCTAGACTAGTGCGTGTGCGCATTTAGTGTGTTTTCTTTCAC